ATTTGTAATTACTATGACATCACCAATCAACGAGTTGCGTCCAGGAAGTGAGCGGGATATTCTCACATCTATGGGGGCCGTGCCGAGAAGCTCTCTGACCACGCAAGTTCGACTCATGGAGACCGCTATCCACGAGAACAGTACTGCCTCGTATGTCCCCCATGTTTCTACCCTTGGTGAAAGTATCAAGAATGTCCTGTGCGACAACGACGACTCCAAGGCTGACATACCCACTGTTGGCAGTGGTGAAGATCCATGCGCTCTTTGGACCATCATTTGCTTGGCTCATTGACAAGATGATTACCCTTACCCCTTCGGTGACCAGCACACTACGAGATGGTTCGACCCGCTCATCGATTGGTATATTATTAATGCCGCCGCCAACATCCCGCAAGGCACTGTCTTCGTTGGACGACAAGCACTCAAGCAGCAGTTGTCCAGAAGTGCGACAGCGTCCAAAAGAGCGTCACATGCTCAGCTGGCACATGCTTGTGCTGCTCAAACTGCCTCGTCTACTGATGGTATCACATTAACTAGTCACGGCTTTCTCGCATTCAGATCAAATGCTCAAGGAGCGCTTTCACCGCCTACTGCTACTCCAACACCATCCCTGCAGAGTCATGACAGTTCTATGGACATTCCTTATGATAGCCTGAAGAAGAAGATCAAGGCTGTCGTTGGTGAGCCGCCAGCTAAGGAACTTGTCTTCGACGTTACCTCATTAGAAATATCTCGACGTCGGAATCACCTTGCTGGGGTTTGTTTGAAGACGCTGTCGGCTCCTAATTCCACCTCCCTCTGCAGCTACCGACACTCTCACGATTATCAAAACAGCTGCTGTGAATGTAAGTGCCATTCAAGTGGACTGCCGTAGCTCATCCACTTTAATCCTTCACAGCGTACCCGCTGTTCCGACCATTAATTTGACGATTTGGCAAAGCTCCTCTCATCGAGTACTGTGAGTGCCAGCACTGGTCGGCACTGGTGCCAACCTTTCCCTAATGGACTATGGTGTGTTTCATTTCCTCA